GGCCCATTCTCTCTCTCTCTCTCTCTCTCTCTCTCTCTCTCTCTCTCTCTCTCTCTCTCTGAACCTCTACGAGAATGAATCTCCCCTTTTTGTTGAGGAAGATTCATTCTCATAGGGCACGTCTGATTTATTTATTTATTTATTTTTTTTGATGAACGTTGAATGTAATGTTTTTGTTTTTGTTTTTTATTTTTTTTGTTTTTTTTGTTTCTGTCATGTCCTACCGGTTGTCCGAGGCTCGGCCATAAAGTCCGAGGCTCGGGAGTCATCGGGCTACCGGTAGTCCGAGCTTCAGACTCTATAGCTGAGTGAGGTACTGGTGGTTTAAACCACCAGTACTTGGCCCAGCTATTGAAGTCGAGCCTGAATATGCCCTGCGCGCCGATTTTTGCCGAGCCTGCAATGAATGGGAAAAAATATGGGACATTTGTTGCTTCAAGTAGGTGTCGCCCCTTATGTTGGACCTGCTGCCAGCAGATGGAACGTAAACAGGCCGTCGTTTTCTTGTTTCCACTCAGGTGGCACCCGAAGCCTCGCCAGGAGTGCAGCCAGTGCGAAAGATTTTCTTCTTCACAAAAAAAAAAGAAAAAAACGGGTGAAAAGGGAAACCAAGCTATGCACTCACATGACGCGTTTTACATCTAGATACATTTGGGAAAGTGTGAACATTACACTGCCAGCAGTGCCAGATACTCAATGCTCCCCGTGTCCAATGGGGAGTCAGATCATGAAGTGCCAACTATCTTCTTCAGAAAACGCAAAAAAAATAAAAATAAAGGTGAAAAGGGAAACCAAGCTATGCACTCACGTGTCGCGTTTGACATCCAGATACATTTTGGAGAGTGTGAATGTTACACTGTCAGGCATTCAATGCTCCCCGTGTCCAACGGGGAGTCAGATCACAAAGTGCTAACGATCTTCTTCAGAAAAAGCCCCCCCCAAAAAAAAGGTGAAAAGAGAAACCAAGCTATGCACTCATGTGTCGCGTTTTACGTCCAGATACATTTGGGAGCGTGTGGACGTTACACTGCCTGGCATTCAATGCTCCCTGTGTCCAACGGGGAGTCTGACCACGAGGTGTCAACGATCTGTTTCTTTTTTTTTTTCCTTCCTTTTCGTTTCTGTTTTTCCCCTCGTTGATTTCAGTGTCCGTGCGTTTCCACATAGCACACCACCAGGACATCGTGCAGTCCTTTTGCCACGTTTCCATGGGGCCACCAGCTCCCTCCCCCATTGCCATGCCAAGCCTTTGCCGAAGCGCGGGAAACACGTAGCGTTAACGCTAAGGGCCCGCAACCGATGTATGGGCCAAGTACTGGTGGTTTAATATTTGGGTTGTGATTTATGAATCAATTTTTTAATTTCACATGCCAACAAACAACCTGCGGGCTGCGCACCTGTGCCCTCACGATAAGGGCCTCCCCACACCACTCTTGAAACGGGGAATTTTTTCAAGAGCTGTCAGACGTTCTCAAGAGTTCGCAGCCCATCAGGGATGCGTTTTCCCCCCCTTAGACATTCAACGTTCAACGTCAATTTCAACGTCGGTGGTCGTCGGGAGGGTAGGCATTTGAGGTTTTGGGGCCTTGCAAGGTCCAGGAACGCGTAGGACCGGTAGCTGC